AGGTATATGTGATATGCGTGACGCATGTACAATATGCATTTGTATACACATGACATGTATGATATACGTGATGTATGCGATACATATGACATGTACATACATAATGAGGGGGCTCCCCCAACGATGATCACCCCGATGCGGCGGCGACGGGTCCGTCGGGGACAGATGCGCAAAAACGATCTGTCCGCCGCACGGAACTATTGAGAAGTTATTGTAAAAAGTTGTGCGATGTGCGATGGGCGCGCCGTGGACAGCGAAGTTCAACCATGTGTGGCGCACAATTTTTTCGGTGCGACGGCGACGGCGGGTGGCCAGACAGATGCACAGTACGTAACCAAGCACGTTCGCCGACGGTGCGACAGCGACCGGCGAGGCCGCGACAGATAGACAGTTCGTTTGTTTCCGGAGAACTCCTAAGATAGACTGTGGGAAGAATGGGGAAGCCATTCTGCTTCACCCTTGGTGTCACCTTGAGCTCTCTTGGGCCCTCTTGGCGCCATCTTAGGCCATCTTCGGTGACCCAACGACCCGCGAAACGCCCCTTCCAGGCCCAGGGGGAGGGGGTAGGGGGGGGGGTAAACCCCTCCCCCAAGGGGAAGAAGGGGGTTGAGGACAGAGAGGGCTCTCTAAACCACTCACGCCCAAAGGGCTGGTGGGATTGTTATATTGTGTTTTGGCCATTGCGTGCGCTGCAGAGATGTGTGTGCATGGCGAAGGCCACGTTGGCTTTTCTCGGGCCGACGTCTCCATGTTGCGACGACGTCTCAGGCGAAACGGCCCCAAGCGGCCCTGCAATGACCTCCAAGATCGCTCAAGATAGCCCTCGATGACTCAATATAGCTCCCAACATGCGTACAAGACGCTCCAAGACCGCCCCAAGACGGCTCCACGTGGTCACGGGGCTCCCGATGCATCGTGTAATTGTTTTATACCATCGGAGGCCATGTTAAGTGCAAAACTCAATGGTCAAAACCCAATGTAAATATTCACTATCTGGGCCCAAGAGGCTGCCACATAAGCGTGGAATATATACAACCAATACAATATGCGAGGCGCGCGCGCGCGCGCTGGTGACCCGCGCGGGGCCGGGTCACCCGCGCGCGCGATGCATCCTGTATTGGTTTTATTCCATCGGAGGCCATGTTAAGGTGAAAACTCAATTGTCGAAACCCAATGTAAAAATTCATTTTCTGGGCCCAAGGGGCGGCCATATAAATGTGGAAAAATACAAACTAATACAATATGCGAAGCGCGCGGGCGCGCTGGTGACCCGCGCGGTGCCGGGTCACCCGCGCGCGCGCGCGATGCCTCCTGTATTGGTTTTATACAATCGGAGGCCATGTTAAGTTGAAAACTCAATGATCAAAACCCAATGTAAATATTCATTCTCTGGGCCCAAGAGGCGGCCATGCCAACGTCAAATATAGAAAACGCAATACAATATGCGAGGCGCGCGGGCGCGCTGGTGACCCGCGCGGTGCCGGGTCACCCGCGCGCGTGCGCGATGCCTCTTGTATTGGTTTTATACAATCGGAGGCCATGTTAATATGAAAACTCAATGATCAAAACCCAATGTAAATATTCATTCTCTGGGCCCAAGAGGCGGCCATGCCCACGTCAAATATAGAAAACACAATGCAATGGGCGAGGCGAGCGCGGGCGCGCTGGTGACCCGCGCGGGGCCGGGTCATCCGCGCGCGCGCGCGATGCATCCTGTAATGGTTTTATACAATCGGAGGCAATGTTAAGGTGAAAACTCAACTGTCGAAACCCAATGTAAAAGTTCATTCTCTGGGCCCAAGAGGCGGCCATATAAATGTGGGAAATATACAAACCAATGCAATATGCGAACCGCGCGGGCGCGCTGGTGACCCGCGCGGTGCCGGGTCACCCGCGCGCGCGCGCGATGCCTCCTGTATTGGTTTTATACAATCGGAGGCCATGTTAAGTTGAAAACTCAATTATCAAAACCCAATGTAAATATTCATTCTCTGGGCCCAAGAGGCGGCCATGCCAACGTCAAATATAGAAAACACGATACAATATGCGAGGCGAGCGCGGGCGCGCTGGTGACCCGCGCGGGGCCGGGTCACCCGCGCGCGCGCGCGATGCATCCTGTATTGGTTTTAGACAATCGGAGGCCATGATAAGTTGAAAATTCAGTGATCAAACCCCAATGTAAATATTCATTCTCGAGGCCCAAGAGGCGGCCATGTAAACCTTGGCAGGTCTTAGCAGCATTTCCATTCCCTTCCGTTTGGGTAACTGGAAGAAATGGGCCGCCACCAATGGATAGACGCCCCCCGCCAGTCAAGCCGCGCCGAGGGTGCGACGGCGCCCGGGGGATGGGCAGATGGATACGCCGCGCCAGCCAAGCAAAGCCGACGGTGCGACGGCGAACGCTTTTTGAATATTGACCTGAACGGAGATCAATACAGGGGGAACCCCCTTATCATACATACACATATATGTGCATACATGTACATGTGCGTGTAAGTGTGTACACATTATGTTTGTATGACTCAAGTTCGTTTACACACCTACGTCTATACTTATATATATGTATATATACGTATACATTTATATATATATGTGTGTGTGCGCATAGTGATAACTGGGAAGAAACGGATGGTTACCACCCAATGTAGAATTTCATCCTTTGGTCCCAAGAGGTGATCGTGCCAATGTAGCGCGCGCGATGCGTCTGTATTGGTTGAATGTGTGTATGTATATACTTATGCATGTGATATATATATATATATATATATATATATATAGATGTACCTATATATACATATATACAAATGTATATATACATACATATATATATATATGTATGTTTGTATACACGCGGGGGGCCACCCGAAACTCAATGGTGAACACCCAATGTAAAATTTCATTTTCTGATCCCAAGAGTTGATCATGTGAAAGTTGAATATACGGAAACGCATGCGACATGCATCGCGCGCGCGCGATGCATTTTGTACGCGTTTCCATATACTTGACCTTCATCTGGTCGCCTCTTGGGACCAGAGAATGAAATTTTACATAGGGTTTTCACCATCGGATTTTCAAGTTCACGTCGTGACACATATGTATAAACCATATACAGACGCATCGCGCGCGCGCTGGCAGCCGGCGGGTCGCGCGCGCGCGATGCGTATTGTATGCGTTTCCATACGTTCGACTTTCATATGACCGCCTCTGTTGATCAGATAATGAAATTTTACATTGGCTTTCCACCATCGGGTTTCCAAGTTAACATCGTGACCATATGCGTAAAACATATACAAACGCATCGCGGGCGCGCGGCCCGCCGACCGCCTGCGCGCGCGCGATGCATTTCGCATTCGTTTTCTTATATTCGAACTTCACATGATCGCCCTTTGTGCCCAGAGAATGAATTCTTACATTGGGTTTTCATCATTGAGTTTTCAACTTAACATTGCGGCCCACAGCCGACCCGCCGGCCGCCGACAGCCGACCCACCGGCCGCCGACATGAGTATGTATGTATGAGTCTGTATGTCTGATGTTGTATGAGTATGTATGTAGGACTCTGGATGTATCTATTTATATATGCATGACAGTTTATATTTACATACATACATATACATATATATATGTGTGTATATGTGCATGTATATGTACACACATATATATATATGTATATATATATGTGAGAGAGCACGCATATAGGTATAACGTACGTATGTATACATGTATGTTTGTATTCATGGCATAGTATAGTTATGTATACATGTACATGTGCATATGTTTATGTAAGCGTAATTCGATATGTTGATGTAGGTGTATGTATGTATATATTTATATGTATATATATATATATTAGATATTAGATATGTACGTACCTCTGTGTCCGCGCCTGCGTGTGCATGTACACATGGATATAACAAGAACCCCGAATATCACTTCAAGACGGCCCGAAAAAGGACCCTACGAGCGCCCCAAGGAGGCCTACTGCCCAAGACACGTCCAATATTGCCCATGAGGGCCCCAAGACGGTCCTAAGCCAGGCCTGACAGGGGGAGCGCAAATAACAGCGCAGAGCGAGCCAGCGAAAGGAGGATAGGGAGGGGGGGAAGGAGGAGAAGAAGGAGAAGGAGGATGACAAGGTGGATGTCTGGCCACTGCACCCTTGGCAACTTACGCAACATAGCTTGCACCACCTGGCCGTCGCCGCGTAGATTGCACCCATAGTTTGCTGAAACGCATTGTTAGGGTTTAGTCGCATCGTGGCGACTCTTTGGGAGACCTCGCACATTTGAGCCAAAGCGGGCACGATAACAAGAGGAAAAGTTGAGCACTGCGCAAGGAGTCTTAGTGCGAGCACTGTTCGAGGAAGTATACGAGCACTGGTAGGTGAATCCGAAAGTGCAAGCGCTGGTTGGGGGACGTGGCGGAAATGGAAGGAGGGCGAGGAGGACGGTGGAGGAGGAATGAGGAGTAGGAAGGCACCCCCCTGCGACGGCGCCCAGGGAGCAGCGGTAGAGCGGGCGTACACATCCGACATCGTTTCGTTTTTGTTGTTCAAGTTGTCGACCCCCAGAGGTCTGGAAACCTTCCCCAGGACCGTTCGCATCGAAGGCGCCGGAGCTCCAGGAAATCAAACACAAGCCGATTTGGGATGATTTGGGCGCCGAAGCTCCAGGAAACTCGACGGCGCCGAAGCTCCAGGAAATCAAAAATCAAATCCGACTCGGCCAGTTTTTTCTTTTCATTTTGAGCGTCGCGGCTCCACGTGGAGCCCTGAATGTCGCTCGCAGTGCTTTGCACTACGAGTGTTATCCCATCCCAAAGGCGGGCCCTTCCCAGGCACTGCACGCACTGTCGCGCGCAGCCTGGGCCAGGACTGAAATCTTCAAATCTTCGTGGCTCGTGTCATCAGCCTGTATTCCTCCCTCCTCACTCCCCCCTCACTCCCTCCGACTCCCCTCCCCCAGATGCCCGAAGGGGCCTTAGGAGCACCGCCGGAGGCCCTCACTCATCATCCAGACCCTCAGCAACACAGCCATCATCCGACATGTCCCATGACGAGGCGTCGCCCTCCGTCTTCTTGCCCTTCTTGCTTTTCTTGGTGCTCTTGGAGTCCTTACTGTCGCCGGTATCGCCCTTGCGCTCGCCGCTCTTGGTGGTGTCCTTGGAGCCCGCGGCGCTGGCGCCGCCGCCGCCTTTCGGCGGGGAGTCCTTGCTGCTGCCAGCCGGCTTCTCTCCTTTCTTTGGGGTCGTGGGCATCAGGGCCTCCGCGCACTTCGCAATGTAGAGGGGCGATCCCTCAGTCATCATCTGGTTGAGCACGAAATACACGAGGCGCTCGCGGACGGCGTTCATGTGCGCCTCCGACAGACAGATCCCGAAGTAGCTGACCTTGGCGTGCCCGCAGCGCTTCAGCAAGCACGCCTGGGCGAAAGCGCCCGTGCCCACGGTGAGGTCGATCACCGTCTTGATCATGTAGCCGGTCAGGATGGCCGTGTAGAATTTAATCGGCAGCGTCCCGAAGCACACTGGCTCTTTGTCAGTGTCCTTCCTGATCACCTATAGGTTGCGCTATGTAGTGTGATATTTGCTGCTATGCTATACTTTGTTATGCTATGATACCCTCATCCGCAACCGTTGCCATTCTGGCTCGAGTTCCAGAGACGCTCCAGAGAAGCTTTTAAGGATCGCTCTGCTACCCCGACTGTTTCGAGGGGGGCAGAGAGGATACGAAGGAGGGTGGGGGCTTCAGACACAGTGGACCCTCTTGTCGGGCTGGCCAGGGTCCGTGTTCCCCACGGCGACGCGGAAGTTGCCGTAGATCTCCCTCTTCATCTTCACCGTCTCAGTCCAATCGTTCTCGATGGCGTCCACTACGATCGGGGCGATGGCCGTGCCTTTGTTCGTCCCCTCGAAGCCTTCGCCCCACGACTGCTCCGGAAGGGACATGTCCGTCCCGCAGATGTGCATGGCCTCTAGCTGCGGGATAGAGCCAGCCCCCCGCGCCACGGCTCGCACCCGCCGAGCGCGGACGCTGGCCTCGTTCTTGATGAGGTTGACCTGGCGCGTCTTGAAGGCTGCCGTCGGCGCGGCCTCGTCGTCCATGTCAGCGTCCTCGTCCTCATCGCCTGCCACCGGACGCCAGGGCTTGAGGAGGGGCCGCTTGTTCCCAGACTTGCCGCCATCGATGAGGAGCGCGATCTCTCCGGGGTTGAGGCCAGGCTCCTTCTCAGTGGGCGGCGCGCGACCGGCGAGCACGGTCTGCACGAGGAGGCAGTATGGCTTCTCCTGCAGCGGGCACGTGCGGACCTGAGGGTTCGTGATGGCCTCACCTGCGAGCTTCGAGTCGAAATGATACGCCACGAGCCCGTCGAGGTCGCCCTTGGTCTGGCTAATGGAGCACTCCTTGACGTACTGCTGCATCGTGTCTGGCTGCGAATGCACCACCAGCTTGACCTGCTGCGACACGGTCTTGTGCGCCGCGGCGCGCCAGTGATTGGCGTCCTCGGCCACTGCGGCGTCAATCGCATCCTTGACTTCGCCCAGCTGCTTGCCCAGCCGCTCCTTGGTGTCGAGTGTCTCTGGCTCCGCTTCCTCGGGGGCATCGGCGACCCTGCCCCTGGGGTCGGAGCCGCTGACCGCCCTCTGCGCGTTGAACTTCTCGAGTTCCGTCAGGATATCGTTGTAGGTCTCCTTGATTCCCTGCGGGGGCAACGGGGGCGCGATCGACCGATTGATTGCCTCCGCCTCGCTCCAAAAAAAACTCCTCCTCCCTCCTCTCTCCCCCCTCACCCCCTCACACCTCTACTCGCTCCCTCCTCCAGCTGGCGTCCCGAGGAGGACGGAGGCGGAGGGGGAGGAGGAGAACGAGGGGGAAGGAACGATGCCCTGGAGCCTGGTAGTCGCTGAGGATATTTTGCGGCGTCTTGCTATACTTCAAGGCGTGCTTCAGGTTGGCGTCGTACTTGACGTCGTACACCATGCTCTCAATGAACTCGCTGAAGAGGTTCGAGGGCTTGCAAAGGCTAGCCTTCCAGAAGAGATCTGGCTGCCTCTCGTTTGTGGGGGCCTTGGCCCAGGCCTTGACCGCATCCGTGTCCTGGTAGCTGCGCCGGATCAGGCTGACGTCGTCGGGCGGGAAGCCCAGCTCGTGAAACGACACGTCCATGAAGTAGGACAGCATGCTCCTCTTGAGTATCATCAGCTCCACTTGGCCATTGCGCAGCTTGCTCACGGATAGGTCTTCGATCTCGTAGTGGCCGCACTCGAACCCAAACACCAGGTAGGTAGTGATGTTCTCGATGGCGGCCGACGTCCGGCCTTTAGACACGATCGCTTGGAGCTTGTAGACCGAGTTCAGAGGGCCGTTGGTGCCCATGTCGTTGTCGAGTTTGGTCAGCAGCACCCTGCATGCCGGGATGCTCAGCATCCTGTTGTTGATGGTCATCGCCGCGTCCACGAATCCTTCAGCGAACTTTTCAGAGCTGGGAGCGAAGTTAACCCTCTTCTCGAACTGAGCAGCAACCTTTTTGGCACTGGGGTGTTGCATCCTCGCGGCCTCGTTCATGACTATCTGCACTTTCTGCAGGGCTGTCCATGTGACTGTTGCTGCGTCGCCGATGGCCTTCTCGCGGAGGTTCATCGACTCGAAACGGATGTTTTCAATGTCGATCAACTTCGGGGCCGACCCAAACCAACGCCAAGGCCAGCCCTGGCCCATCCCAGCTTGGGCCAGGCAGTCCTGAGGCCCAAGACGGGCTGGGCCAGCGCTGCCTCAACGCGGATTTGGCGACGCCCTAGCCTTGAAGATGAAGTGACACGAACGGAAAGACGCCTTCCAGCTCAAGATCGTAGCATCATCAGCTTCAGCGTCGATTGCCATGGAGCAGCGGTCGATCGCTGCGAGCACGTACTCGCACGGCGAGATGCGCGAGAGGCCCCCCATGTGCGCCGTCGGGTCGAAGTCGACGGAAGGGATGCCGATGTTGATCGTGTGAGGGATGAAGCGCACTGGCTGCGAGGGGTCGGGGTAGTTCATATTGCCGACGTCGCGGATATTCTGCTTGAGGATGGTGACAGACGGCGTAGGTGATACCATCACGTTCTGCCAAAAGAAGTTGCCTGCGCACTGATACTCGCTGTTCTGCTCCATGCACGTCTTGTAGTTCTGCGCGTCGAAAGGAGCCATCCTGCCGCCCTGCGGGATGGTCAGCACGGACTCATCCTCGATGTTCGCTAAGAGCGGGTGCGCCTTGATCTTGGCCAGCTTCGTCTCGAAGTCGGAGTAGATCGGCGTGTTCGAGTTGAGGTTGGGGGGAGCGACAGCGGCCGGCTTGGCCTTAGCCTTGCCCTTGGGTCGCGGCGGCATGCCTGACGACTGGTGGAGTGCCAGAAGGGCGCCTGGAAAGAAATAATGATCAAAAAAGCTTTGGCAAGGATTGGAGGTGGGAGGTCGGAGGCGGAGGAGGCTCTCCAACCCATACTACCCTCCCTTCCCTCCCACTTCCGCCATACCCGCCCGCGTCTCCTTTCATCTCACCCCTTCCCTTACCCTCCCGCACGCCGCCGCCCTTCCCCATTGCGTTTCCCCGCGCGCCCCCCCTCCTCCTGGATGCCCCAAAACACCGCATAGGTTTTTCGTCGTTCACGCGCTCAGAGCTTCGCCCCGCGCGAGAAACAATACACAACCTTTTCGATGTTTTCACCGCTCAGGGGTGGGCCGCGCGGGGAACATCTGGACGCGAGGGTGCAGCAGGGGCGGGCGGGCCAGCGCTAGATCATTGCACTATCGAACTAAACAGATGCCCACTTCTGGCGTCAAGCAAAGTTGGGCCAGCGGCCTCGAGACTGCGAAGACTGTCAAGCAACTAACTCTGCACTAGCGGCCCCAAAGATGCCCTACAGGCCCCCAACACCAACACTGAGAACCAACCAACTAGCCACTGGCCGTGCTACGCGAAGCGTAGGATGTAGTTGTGCAGCACCTCGACGATGGCGTTCGGCGGCCCCCTACGGGATGTCCGCCATCGGCGGCAAGCCATCGGAACGACGGCCCCAGCCTGGATCCGTGGCTCTGAGTCTGCAGGCTGGCCCTGGGCTGGGTGGGGGGACGGCGGAGGCCCTGGGCGGCGAAGCCTTTCCCTGGCCGGGAACTCCAGACCCTGGCCAGGACCACCCCTTCGTCCAGCCGTGGCGACGAGGGCCCGAAGATGGCCAGAAAGCCCCAAGGGCCCAAGACCGCGAAAGCAGAATCCATCAAAACCTTCGGAAACCGATGGTGGTGGCCTTCCCGCAGTTTCGCTTATGATGGGTTTGCGAAGCCTGAAGACGGCTCCAAGATGGCCTGAGAGGGTTTCCAAGAGGGGCCCAAGAGCGGCCCAAGAGCACCCCAAGAGCGCCCCAAGAGGACATCAAGAGGCTCATTTGAAGGCTCCGAGGGGGGAACGCTAAAATAGCCCACCGCATGTTTGATCCATGGCATCCAAGATTGCCCAAGAGACGCTCCAAGGCCACCAAGGGCCCCAAGAGAACCCCCAAAGCGCCCCTACGATGACCCTAAGAGGCTTACAAGACGTCACCAGTGCTCAAGCAAAGAAAGCAAACCAACGACTCCCGATAACAAGTGCACTTCGCAAAGGTGGCTGTTTTAGGATGGGCTGGTGGGGATTCGTGAACAAGTCTTTCAACCCGCGTTGCACGGTGCGCGTCGTTCGTTCCCCTCCTCGCGTGGCGACGCACGCAAGCCAAATTGTCATGTGTGCATATGTGCATATGCGCAACCCATCTAGCCTCCCGCTCACTTCTTCTCCCACGGGTCCTTGGGCAGCTCAGAAACCAACCCAGCCACGTACACCAGCATCCGGAGCACTCGCCCGCACACCGGGAGGGTCATCGTGTTGCCGAGCATGGCGCCCATCTGGCGATCCGAGACCCCGAGGGACGCATAGTCGATCGTCGACGGGTGGAGGCCCTGGAAGCGGAAGAGCTCGGCAGTAGTCGTAAACCTCCCCCTCGTGGATACCCAGAAACCACCCCCGTGGCCCCGCCGAGAAGTAAGGCAAGGCAGTACTTTGATCCTCTTCGTGAAGTATTGCTCGGAGCACAAGATGTCAGTGAAAACGCACGTCTTCCTGGGGTCAACAGGCGGATCTCCAGCCAAGCACTCCCGGATCGACCGTTTCAAGAGAGACCTAGCCAGACCACCGTTCAGGGTCTTCGAGGGGAGCGTCTTGGGGTCCTCGTCTGACTTGAGGCGGTCCAGTGGTGGCGGTCCTTTCAGGGGCATTGCTTGTGGCCATTCGAATGTACGATCTTTCTTCAACTTGTCCTTCCTCACGGCGACAAGGTACAGCCTTTGGCGGTTCTGGTGGACCCCGAAGTCTTTCGAGTTCAGGAGCTTGTGTTTGGTGGCGTATCCATCCCGATGAAGGCGGCTCGTGATCTTCTCCAGGGTGTTTTTATGCGTGGTCATCAGGCCAGGGACGTTTTCCATCATAACCGCCGAGGGTTTGTAGTTTGTGATGTAGTCCAAGCTCTCATCGACCATGGCACGGGGGTCATCGTCCCCCAGGTGGTTCCCGCCCGCAGCGTAGGGTTGGCACGGGAAGCCAGAAATGTAGAGGTCCGTTTTGTCATCCTGGGATTTGGGTTGTTGGGCGTCGTCGTAAAACCTCTTCGGGGAATGAGTGTTCAGAATGACCTTCTTGCACGCCGCGCTGTTGTCTGATGAGAACACATGTATGTAGTCAACGCCCATCTCTTGCAAAGCAAATATCGGCATGTCAATCCCCGAAAAATCGGTGCCTACTCTGATCGGTCTCATGTCTGCGACCTGTTTGTAGACCTGATGACTCGAACAGCTATGGGCGAAGAGGAGACGAGGATGGAGGAGAGGGAGGAGGGAAGAGGGAAGAGGGAGGATGGAGGAGGGAGGGAGGGAGGGAGGGAGGGAGGGAGGGAGAGGAGGAGGAGGAGGAGGAGGAGGAGGAGGAGGAGGAGGAGGAGGAGGGGGAGGAGGAGGAGGAGGGGCAAGGAGGCGGCAGGG